AATATCCCAGTTACATTACACTTAAACTTTCTCTGCTTCCTGAAAACAATTATTATTGGTTAAGGAATTTATTTTTAATGTAACTTTATGTTCTACCAGGGCTTTATTATGGTAACAACTATGCATGGTCCAGATGTACTAATAATGCTATTTGTTCTAAGTGAAATATGTTCACTGAGCCCTGTGTCTAATTTCTGGTTGGCTATACTCTTAGTTAATACACTTTTTAGCACAAGTGGATGTTAAGCTTTGACTGTTCTCTGGTTTATAGTCTCTCCAAATCTTTTCCTATATACTTCCCAAATACAAAATAATTTGTGTAATTTTCGGAGAGTGCTAGGAAAAAAGAAAAAAAAAAAAAAGCAGCTTAACAGTTTTTTAAAAAGTAGCTTCCTAAAAGAGACACTCAAATATGGTCCCTTTTTCTCATTTATGCCATGTTTGGCCTAAGTTTCTTCTGAAATACTAAGTAACCTCTGGAGCTCCTTCTGTCACATCCATTCAGGTGTCCACGAGTGTCCAAATCCCCTCCTTGCAAAGTCCCCTCATTGTTCCACCACCCTCTGGATCTCTCAACTCCACAACTACACGGATAGTTCGTGGCAGAGGACTTCTATCTCTAGGTCACTATTTGAGCTTTATGAAAGTGAGCTGAGTTGTCAAGGCTCAATGTTGTCAAATATTTCACAGACAAATGCTGATTTCCTGTGTATGTGTACACACTGGGCAATAATATAAAATACACTTATTCCTGTGGGTCATACTTTTTTTTTTTTTTTCGAGACAGGGTCTTGCTCTGTTGCCCAGGGTGGAGTACAATGGCACCAACTCAGCTCACTGTAGCCTCGGCTGATTGCAGCCCCTGCCTCCCAGCTTCAAGCAATTCTCCTGTCTCAGCTTCCCAAGTAGCTGGGACTATAGGCACTCACCACCATACCTGCCTAATTTTGGTATTTTTGGTAGAGATGGGATTTTATCATGTTGGCCAAACTGGTCTTGAACTCCTGACCTCAAGTGATTCTCCAAGGCTGGTGTTGAACAACTGACCTCAAGTGATTCGCCTACCTTGGCCTCCCAAAGTGCTGGAATTACAGGAGTGACCCACCGCGCCTGGCCCAGGGTCATACATTTTTAAAAAGTACACACTGGGTCAGCCATTGTGTAAAACGTATTTATTTCTGTGGTTCATAATTTTTTTTTTTTTTTTTTTTTTAGGATGGGGTTTCACCATGTTGGTCAGGCTGGTCTTGAACTCCCAACCTCAGGTGATTTGCCCGCCTTGGCCTCCAAAGTGTTTGGATTACAGGCATGAGCCACTACGCCCGGCCGTGGTTCATAATTTTTTAAAAGTTTGAAAGCCACTGTTTTTTAGGCAATAATGAGTGTAGAAAGGAATGTTTTTAGACCACTGCTTCCTCAGGGAAAAGACCACCCTCACAGGCTTGAGGCTGAGAATTTTGTTGAATTTATATTTACATTGTTGAAGAAAAAAATAATACACGATACTTGTTAAAGACAGCAATAAAGAATTCATTCAAGGAGACACTATCCAATGGGGTCTTGTAGTGGGAGAGACAGATTGGGCTCAACTATGAGCTCAACTATGAGCTCAACTTAGATCACAACTAGTGATCTAACCTAAGGAGCAGGATGGAGTCAGTGGATGGAAAATTACTAAGGGAAAATTTCCGAATAAAGAAGGATTCTGGCTAAACCAATTTAATGGGATTATTGCTGAAGGCAGACCAGGGTGCTAATATATTGATAACAGAGGATAAGGAATTTGATTAGATACCAAGTGTGGTTAAAAAAAAAAAAAAAAAAAAAAAAAAAAAAAAAAAAAAAAAAAAAAAAAGATATCAAGTATGGTCAAATACTAAGGGTGAGGCATTTTTGCCCAACTGATCCAGCAGGATTCTCGCTAAAACTGGACTAAATGGACAAAGCCACTAAACTAAGGACAGAGTTCCTGGTCAGGACCTAATCAGAAAGAGGACTCAGAGGAACCTGACTCAAGTTTAGTCAAAGGAGAGGGTCTTTGTCAATACTACCTCCCTAGCAAAACTGGCTTATCACACTGAGGACTTTTGGTTGTTACCTTCAAATGGAAGACAGCACAGGGAGGAGAAGCAAGCTCTCTCCTGATTCTTCTAAGGTCACTAATCTCATTCATGAGGGCTCCATATTTAATCCTAATTATCTCCCAAAGACCTTACCTTCTAGTTTCTAAAACCATCACACTAGGGGGTAGAATTTTTCCTTCCTTCCCTTCCTTCCTCCCTCCTTTTCTCCTTTCTTCCTTCTGGTTTTTTTTTTTTTTTTTTTTTTGAGACAGCCTCTCACTTTGTTGCCCAGGCTGGAGTGCAGTGGCGCCATCTTGGCCCACTGCAACCTCTGCCTCCTGGGCTCAAGTGATTTTCCTGCCTCAGCCTCACAAGAAGCTGGGACTACAGGCTAGCGCCACCAAGCCGGCTAATTTTTGTAGAGCCTGGGTTTCACCATGTCGCCCAAACTGGTCTGGAATTGCTGGGCTCAAGTGATCCGCTTGCCTCGGGCTCTCAAAGAGCTGGAATTACAGGCCTGAGCCACGCCCCGTCTAGAATTTCAACACGAAGCGGGAAGGGGGCAGAGAACACTTTCAGTCCGTAACAGCCAAGGACTAGAAGACTTTGGTCCACCATAAAAAGCAAGACTTATGTTTCTTGGATATCAGTATTGCCACTTATGTACAGGATGCAGAATAGTTAGGGCTTTGTAGATTCATACTGATGGCTATGTTTATTTATTTTTGAGACCGAGTCTTGCACTGTCACCCAGGTTGGAGTGCAGTGGTGCGATCTCGGTTCACTGCAACCTCCGCCTCCCATGTTCAAGAGATTCTCCTGCCTCAGCCTCCCGAGTAGCTGGGATTCCTGGTGCACACTACCACACCCAACTAATTTTTTTGTATTTTTAGTAGAGACGGGGTTTCATTATAATGGCCAGACTGGTCTTGAACTCCTGACTTTGTGATCCGCTGGCCTCAGCTTCCCAACGCATTATTTTTAATCTAGGGTTCAGAGACAGTGACATTGCCTCTCAGAAGCAGGTTTTCTAAAAGAAAACGAAAAGGAAAGCCCCAATTTGTAAGACTGAAAAATGTCTTCTTTCACTTATCATGGGGGAGGAGGGGACCTGAGGATAGATAGTATATATGTAAATGTAAAAAGCACTTTTGAGCTTTCTGTATTGTACACGATGGGGGAAAGTATGTTGTTCAGGGATCTCTGGCTCATTTTATAAGATGAGTTAGACAATAAATACTATGTAATTATTCGAATTGCTTTGTCTTGCTGCATGGCTTTGTCACCATCTGATTTTGCAATTACTTTAACAAGCAAAGGAAATGCCAGAGAAGTTCAGCATCTGGGACCTCCTCACCCTTGTAGCATGTCAGGCCTCAGGCAGGAGACAAAATGCCCAAGGCTGACTGTGGAGCCCAGGTTAAGAGAGAGAGAATGGCTTTGAGTCTGGGTGGGTAAGCACGCCTTGTTCCCCAGGTCAATATTTACATGTGGGGTCACTTCCACCTTCGGTACACTTAATCAGGCGGTGATTGTGTTCCATGGCATCATCCAGACTTCAGGACTTTGGAGGAAAGCTTGGGCAGCAGACTGCTCAAGTGCATTTGACGATAAAATGCTTTGTGCAGCCAGATGTAAATTGTACTTGCCCATAAGCTTATACTAAGAGGGGTAAACCATAAGCGGGGCTGACCCATATGGAGCTGGGCTTTTCTTTGCCCGGAGACTCTTGTGAGATCCGTAAGACTGAGAACTCTGCCAACCACTTGGCTTTTCGGCAAAACGCGATACAACCCTAGAAGGCGGGTCACTGCTCTGCACCAGCTGCCAGTCAGAGAGACAACAAATAAAAATGGAAGATCCTTCTCAGTGAGAAAACAGGCCTCGGACTCAAAGCGGGGGTCCTGAGAGGAAGGTGAGCAAAGAAAGGCAAGGCGAGGGAGCTGCTTCAAGAAGCCGGGTTCATTCAAACCCCGAGGACAGCAAACCCCGCCTCCCCACGCCGCCGCCCGCTCAATCGCCGAGCGCTCCGGGTGTGAGCTCGCCCCGCGGGGAGCGGCTTGGAGCCGAGGAGGCGGTGGCAGAGGTGGTTTGGGCAGCCCCGCGCGGCGGATAGGCCCAGGCAAACAACACCCATTCCCCCTCCTCCTCGCTCAGTTCAACTCCCACTCGGCCCCGGCCACGCCCTGCTGCCACCGCCCCCTCGGGCAGCTTTCCGCTCGGCAGCCAGGCCTCGGTCGGGGGCGGGAGAGAGGCGGTGCCTGGAAGAAGGCGCCGCGGCCGCCGGAAACTACGAGTGCCGACAGCCTTTGCGACATTGCCCCGCCTCCCTTCTCCCACCACTCAGCGCGCGTCACCGGGGGCTCAGCCAATGGAGACCGAGCCAGGGAAAAAGGGCGCCCGCGTCCGGATGCGCCTCAGGAAAGCCATGCTCCCTGCGCGGGGGCAGCGGGCAGTTCAGCCGGCACACGAGCCGTCGGTGGTCCGCGCGCGCCCACGTCCGCCCCTCTCGCTTGCCTGGAGCGAGGGCCCTACTTTTTTCTTAAGTGGCAATTGGAGAGATGCTGGAGCGGGTTTTTGAGTGGAGGGCGCTGGGAAATGAGTAGGGGGCGGGATATCCTGAGACAACAAGTTTGGCTGTATGGAGGGCCTACCGGCAGCGCTCCTGAGTTAGAACGCCGAGGAAAGAGCGCCAGAGGATCCAGGGAAGAGGAGAAGAGCTGCTAAAAGAATAACCTCGAGAAAGGGGGTGGAGAGGAGGCGGCCCCAGCGCCCCGGCCCCCGGCAGGTCGGCGGCCAATCCGCTGGGGGAAGGGGTGGAGAGTCGGAGGCTCCGGCGGAGAGAGGCCGAGGGGGGTGGGGAGTCGGCAGGGCTCGCGCCGCCCTGGCCCCGCCCCCGACCCGCGCCGCCGCCCGCGCCGCGCGCCGCCGCTGTCAATCAAGGGCGAGTCAGCCGGGCTCGGGCGGAGAGAGGAGCTGCTACGCAACAGCCCAGCGGCGGCCATTCGTGGAAAAAGAGGCAGAGCCTGTGCCAGCTACAGCCTCCTCCGAGCCACCGCGGGCGGGCGGGACCGGCCTCTCCTCCCGCCTCGCCCCCACCCCCACCCACCTCTATCCCAGTGTCTCCGTCTGAGGGTTTGTCCTGTTAATGCGGGATGAGCGGTACGTATTCTCCACCCCCCTCGGTCTCCTTCGCCGCCTCCCTCCCTCTCTCCCTCCCTCCCTCCCCAGACCCTGCTCGGTTCTCCCCCCTCCCCCGGGGCCGCTGAGATGCTTTAAGGGGAGGAGGAGAGGGCGGGAGGGAATCAGGGGGAGGGAAGGAGGGTTGTGTTTTGTCTTAATGTCTGAGAGAGAACAACCTCCTTCTGGGTGTTGCTCTGGAGCCGATGGGTCGGGTTTCAAACCACGTTTTGTGATACCCCCTCCTCCCTTCCCTCCTTCTCCCCCACCCCCTGCCGGTGTGCGTGGATCGCGGGTTTATGGAGATTAATGTTCGGGGGGAGGGGGGAGAAGAGGAGAGGGAGAAGACGAATAATAATAATCCTAATAACCTGTTGTCGTGTGTGTGTGTGGTTGGGGGGTTTGTTGCAGATCAGAAGAAGGAGGAGGAGGAGGAGGCGGCAGCGGCAGCGGCGATGGCTACAGAAGGAGGGAAAACCTCTGAGCCAGAGAATAACAATAAAAAACCCAAAACCTCAGGCTCCCAGGTAAAAGCAAACAAATAAAAAAATATTCTTAACGACACATTAGGAAAGAGAGGGAGGTATGCCCTTTAAATGCCCAGAAGTAAAGGACAGAATAAAAATGTTTGTCCACTCAAAGCATCTTTCTGAGAGTGAGGAACTTAAATTGTAAATTCATCAGATTTCACCTCTTTGAGGGTATAACGTTGTTTAAAATTACATCAGGAATTCAGACTGTAAGAAAACGGTGTTTGTGTTCCCAAGGGCATTTTGAGTTTAGGAACAAAACACTTTACAAAGTTTTAAAGATATTTCCTTTTATTTAAACTTGATATTATAGGACCTGTTTCCTTATTCATATAGTTCTTATCTACTTTTGTTCGTATTTCTTTTTGATTTCTGCTGCTTCCTAAATTCTGTTATGTAGAGTTGTCAAAATAAATAAGTAACCCCCTGGCAACTACTGGCCTCCACTAAATCCGCCCACTTTTTTTTCCCCCTTCTGCTTTACCGCCCTATTTTGGGTAGGACTCTCAGCCCTCTCCTCTGGCTTTACTGGCAGCTACTTGCAGCAAAATAGGGACTCCTGGTGAAAATCAAGCAACTGGACAACAGCAAATTATTATAGATCCAAGCCAAGGATTGGTGCAGCTTCAGAATCAACCACAACAGCTAGAACTGGTAACGACACAACTTGCTGGAAACGCTTGGCAACTTGTTGCCTCCACTCCTCCTGCTTCAAAAGAAAATAACGTTTCTCAACCAGCTTCTAGTTCATCTAGTTCTTCCAGCAGTAATAACGGGAGTGCATCTCCTACAAAAACGAAATCAGGTAATTCTTCCACCCCTGGTCAATTTCAAGTCATACAAGTACAAAATCCAAGTGGTAGTGTACAGTACCAAGTGATTCCACAACTTCAGACAGTGGAAGGTCAACAAATTCAAATCAATCCAACTAGTAGTTCATCTCTACAGGATTTGCAGGGTCAAATTCAGCTCATTTCTGCAGGTAATAATCAAGCTATACTCACAGCTGCTAACAGGACAGCTTCTGGGAATATTCTTGCTCAAAACCTGGCAAATCAGACAGTTCCAGTCCAAATTAGACCTGGTGTTTCAATACCACTTCAGTTACAGACTCTTCCTGGTACTCAGGCTCAAGTTGTAACCACCCTACCAATTAACATTGGAGGTGTGACTCTAGCTTTGCCAGTAATAAACAACGTGGCTGCTGGAGGAGGGACTGGGCAGGTTGGCCAGCCTGCTACTACTACTGATAGTGGGACTTCCAATGGGAATCAGTTAGTTTCCACACCCACTAATACCACTACTTCTGCCAGTACTATGCCGGAATCTCCCTCCTCCTCTACTACGTGCACAACCACTGCTTCAACATCTCTGACAAGCAGTGACACATTAGTGAGCTCAGCAGATACGGGCCAGTATGCAAGCACCTCAGCCAGTAGTTCTGAACGCACCATTGAAGAATCTCAAACACCTGCTGCTACTGAGTCTGAAGCCCAGAGCTCCAGTCAGCTACAGCCTAATGGAATGCAGAATGCACAGGATCAATCAAATTCTCTTCAGCAGGTGCAAATTGTAGGCCAACCTATCTTACAGCAGATCCAGATCCAACAGCCTCAGCAACAGATCATTCAGGCGATTCCACCACAGTCATTTCAACTCCAGTCAGGGCAGACAATTCAGACCATCCAGCAGCAGCCTTTGCAGAATGTTCAACTTCAAGCAGTAAATCCGACTCAGGTGCTTATCAGGGCTCCAACTTTAACACCTTCAGGGCAAATCAGTTGGCAGACTGTACAGGTTCAGAATATTCAGAGTCTTTCAAATTTGCAAGTTCAGAATGCTGGGTTATCCCAACAATTAACCATCACCCCAGTGTCTTCAAGTGGTGGCACAACTCTTGCTCAGATTGCTCCTGTGGCTGTTGCTGGTGCCCCAATAACTTTGAATACTGCCCAGCTTGCATCAGTGCCTAACCTTCAGACAGTGAGCGTTGCCAACCTGGGTGCTGCAGGTGTTCAAGTGCAGGGAGTTCCCGTTACAATCACTAGTGTTGCAGGTAAGTTATGACATCTTTTTAAGTACTTTTTAAATCGTTTTCATAACAATCATTGCTTTTTTTTTTTTTTAACTAATTCTTAGGTTTGACATAGCCTCTGAAGTAAACACATAATCTTAAGGAACCAGAAACAGCAATATTATAGTAACAAACATAGCTCTATGGTAATCAGTGTGACATGTTCACTTTTGTGGATTTTATGATGTTAGGTTTTATGTGTTAAATTTGTTAGACAGTTTTTAAAAAGTATTATGAGACAAAGCTTTCTGATTAGAATCATAATTGGCTTTGTAATTAAGTGGTCTTATTTCATAACGTTGGAACTTTTCAGAAAGAACCCTAGTGAAAATAATATCTCTTCTTTGAGGGAAAGTAGTTTTAAACTCAATTGGTATATGTAACTGTGAATCTGTTGAACTTTTAATTCTGTGGTATAATAAGGCTAACTTTTTTTTAATGGAAGTTATTTCTCAAGCTTCAGTGTCTTGTTACCCGTACTTTTGTGTTTTATTACACTGGACTGTTTTAAACTAGATATTGATGCAGTCGAGAGATAGTTTTACGTTGTAAATTGTTTGGTTAACTTTTATGTCTACTTTTAAGCTAATATCAGGATTTGAATTTATAATCCTTCATTTATAGAATTATATTTAATTAAATCTTATGGTCATTGTGTGATTTGTAGATGTTTAATGTAAAGTTGGTGGAAAGCAATGAAAAATGTTGATAGAATTCACTAATATGAATTAATTTTGGTAAAGTTATTTTTAAACCAGTTTTAAAAGTAGTTCTTGTTTGTTATGCATGTAAATAGATACTTCTGAAGTACTTGGCAAGTAGTTTAATCTTTTTTGGAACAGTCTTGTCCCTAATAACTTTTGTTTTCTAGTAATTAAGCCCCTTTCATTGATTCTGATTTGATGAAAACCTCATTTTGTTTTAGTGCCTTTGATACTTTCAGACCTTGTCAATTAAATATTTCTATATTGATAATCTGAGATAAATAAGTTTATCACTTTTTAATGACCTTTTTTTTGAAATAAGTTGCCAAAAAAATATGCTAGGGTTATTTTATGGTTAATACCTCAAGTAGGCATATATATGTGAAATTGTAAATTGCCAGGTAAAACTTTCTGATTCAGGAGAACTGGGATTATAGTGTTTTGTTTTTTTTTTTGAGACACAGTTTCACTCTTGTTACCCAGGCTGGAGTGCAATGGCGCGATCTTGGCTCACCGCAACCTCTGCCTCCTGGGTTCAGGCAATTCTCCTGTCTCAGCCTCCTGAGTAGCTGGGATTACAGGCATGCACCACCATGCCCAGCTAATTTTTTGGTATTTTTAGTAGAGACGGGGTTTCACCATGTTGACCAGGATGGTCTCGATCTCTCGACCTCGTGATCCACCCGCCTCGGCCTCCCAAAGTGCTGGGATTACAGGCTTGAGCCACCGCGCCCGGCCTGGGATTATAGTTTTTATGTAGATACCCGTTACTTCTAGACCAGCAGCATCCAGCAGAACGCTCTGTGATGTTAGAAATGTTTATGTGTCCTATCTAAAATGTTTGCCACAGGCTACATGTGACTCCTAAGCAGTTAGGTATGTCTGGGGCATCTGAGGAACTGAATTTTAAATTTTATTTAAATTTAATTTAAGTAGCCACATGTGGCTAGTGGCTTCTTTATTGGCAAGCACAGTAGTTTAGTGTTTTGAGTGTGGTATTTTTCCCCTGAACTGTTACAGCATAATTATATGTGTTTCTCTGGTTTACAGTCCTTAACTTGCTTTGTTTCTACTCCTTTGCTGAAAACTTTGGCAATAATTGTAGTATTTCAGAAAAGTGTTTTTGGTGGGTTGAATGACAGTTTTCATTGTAAAAGCAGAAGTTATTTCACTTCCATTTTGTCTTATTAAGCATTAGTTAGCGAATTGTGATTAATTAAGAGAATGGAGTAATTTATGATTTAGGTTAGAAGTAATCAATTCTTCTGCTCTCTAATTGGTATCTTTTGCAATCCAGAAGTTTTCCCTTAGCCATTGTGAGAGTAAACAAATGTTTTGGCCACCCAAACTTAGATTAACTTGAATGGTTGATTATAAACACAGGATCCAGCTTCTGGTACTGTAAGTTTTGAATTGCGGGAGACAAGGGATTTGCCTTTTAGCATACTTTCCAGGTAACTCTAAAACTCACTGAAGCAGCTGGGTGTGGTAGTTCATCCTGTAATCCCAACGCTTTGGGAGGCCAGGGTGGGAGGGTTGCTTGAGCCTACTAGTTCAAGACAGCCTGGGCAACATAGTCTCTCCAAAAAAATTTTTTTAAATTAGCTGAATGTGGTGGTACACCTGTGGTCCCAGCTTCTTGGGAGGCGGAAGTAGGAGGATCGTTTACGCCCAGGGGATGCAAGCTGCAGTGAGCTGTGACTGCCTCACTGTACTTCCACCTTAGTGACAGATGGAGACCCTGTGTCGGACAAACTCACTGAAGTTTGAGAATCAAGTGTCTAGTCATCAGCAGTGAACCAGAAGACAGAATATGGAAGCAGGTGGGTGTTGAGCTAGTTCATTTGTGCCTCAGAATAGATTTTGGTGGCCAAGTACAACTTTTTAGGCTTTTTTTTTCCTTAATCGATTTCCAACCCTCAGCTAAAAACTTTAGTTTTTATTCCACAAGTGTGTGTGTTGAGATGGCTGCTGTATGCTGAACACTGCCAATAGGTGTGGTTACTCCTTCATTTTTCAGGGATAATTTTTTCACTTAAAGGATTTACGTGATTTGGATGGTTTCATTTAAGTATAGGAGGAAATTTGAAAAAAGTAAAATCATATAAGGTAAATCTAATAAAACCAGTACTTGAAGCTGGGGAGCTTGGTACTTAGTTTTATGAAATGAGAATATTAGCAACAACCTAGGGGAATCCTCTTCCGTTAATAGTGTATTCAGCATCATGTGTTTCTGTGCTTTGGTCTCAGCTGTAAATCCTGACTCCATGCTGAGCATTAGTTGGAATTGTAGTAGGAACCAAATATGTGTATGCTTTGCATATTTTTGTTTGTTTCCTTAATGGGATTCTGAATTTGACTTTAAAAATTTTTACTTTTACTTAAAAAAAAAATAGATATGGGGGTACAAGTGCAGTTGTGTTACATGGATATATTGCATAGTGGTGAGATTTTAGTGTGCCCATCACCCAACTAGTGAACATTGTACCTAGTAGGTCATTTTTCAACCCTCACCCAGTCCCCTACCTTTTATAGTCCCCAGTGTGAGTATCCCACCTGTATGTCCATGTGTAATCCTTTTTTTTTTTTTTTTTTTATAGTTCGCACTTATAAGGAAGAACATGCTGAGTTTGTCTTCAGAGGAAAAGCAGAAACCTTAATTTAAGCTCAGTGACAACTAATTGTACTTCCGGCTTAAGCTCCTTTACTTTAACTAAGTGAGGAGAATGGACTGCCTGTTTTCACAATGTCTTCTAATAGTCAAAGAGCCCTAAATAAAGTGAATTTCAGGTGTTACATTTTCTTAAAGAATTTGGAGCTTGTAGGAACTATGGATAGCTAAATCTAATTAACTTGCAGTGGCCCACAATGTGCCTTGTTTTTGGCAGTAATCATCATATGTAGTAACAGAGATCATACTGTAGGCCTTTTGATTGATGAGTGAATATTTCTCAGTCAATATTAGTGGAAATTAACAATTTTATGCTGGTTCTCCCACAGAGGAGTTCAGACTTGATGATAAGATACTGCTGACCCTTGAAGAACTTGACTCTCTTATCTGATTTTTTTTTTTACTTCTCCAGGGAATTAAAATACGAAACCTGGGGATATAGTATCAAACTAGAAGTGGAAGGACCAGTTCTTCATCATTAGTACCAAAGAAATTAATTAAAATTTATACTTAATTTTAAAACTGAATTTTATTCAGTAGAATTAACCTCTTACAGTGATCTTGTTTTCCAGAGCTGTTAAAGGTGGAAAATTGGCTTGAGGTTTAATACAAATATGGTTTTCCTTTGCCATATATGTTTTATTAATTTGGATTTCCCTCATGGGTAGCTGTATATATACATACTCATGTACTCCTGTGTTTGGTTACTCTTTTTTCAGAGGAGTCAGATTTACTCCAGTGATCCTACTTCTTTAAAATCTTTATACTTTTTCTTATAGATTGGAATTCATTATTAGAAACTTAAATCTTTTTTACAATTTGAATGACTCAGGCTCTGAACTACCAAGCTGGCTTTAACTATTAAATGATTTTTTTCATGGAAGATGAAAAGTTCTCAATGTAGAACCACATTAATTTTTTAAAGAGGCATTTTGTTTTTTTGAGACAGAGTTTCACTCTTGTTGCTAGGCTGGAGTGGCATGTTCTAGGCTCACTGCAACCTCTGCCTTCTGGTTTCAAGTGATTCTCCTGCCTCAGCCTACCAAGTAGCTGGGACTATAGGCATGCACTAGCACACCTGGCTGATTTTTTATTTTTAGTAGAGGTGGGGTTTCACCATGTTGGCCAGGCTCGTCTTGAACTCTTGACCTTGTGATCCACCCGCCTCAGCTTCCCAAAGTACTGGGATTATAGGCATGAGCCACTGTGCCCGACCTGGCATTTTTTTTTTTTTTTTAGAAGGATTTCAGGATAGAGTAACAAAGGAAAATAGCGTTTTTTTGATTGTTTGTGTTGGAAATGGAGTCTCTTCTGTCACCTAGGCTGGAGTGCAGTGGCAGGATATCTACTCATGCCCACTACGCCTCCTGGGTTCAAGCGATTCCCCAGCCTCAGCCTCCCAAGAGTAGGGACTACAGGCACATGCCACCACGCCTGGCTAATTTTTTTTTTTTTTTTGAGATGGAGTTTCCCAGGCTGGAGCGCAATGGCACAATCTCAGCTCACCACAATCTCTGCCTCCCAGGTTCAAGCACTTTTCCTGCCTCACCCTGCTGAGTAGCTGGGATTACAGGCGTGTGCCACCATGCCAGACTGATTGTATATTT